GGTTGTATACGCGTGTCCATGTGAGAGCATTTTGAGAGGAATATCTGACTCTCCACTCTCGGCCGTACCGGGCCATTTAGGTCATGTTCAATTACCTAGTGAATGAGTTAAATTAATTTTATTTAATGGAATTATTATTGATTGATTAACAGTAATAACCATGCACTCGTAGTTGGTCAAAATCGCAAAACTGTCTAACCTCAGAATATTTATGGTATAATTTCACAGATTAAATTAAAATTGGTTTCGATTACAAAATTACATTGAAAGTGATAAAGTGAATAACAACAATCGACACTTCGTACAGGCAGAGACGAAAGTAACAAATTCAATATAAAACTGGTCGAACCATTGAGCCGGTCAATAAGAAAGTAGATAGTTTATATTCAGACAGTTATTCACTAACGGTATTGGATGATGATTGCGTAATATAGTAAACTAATTAGAATTAAAACTGTCCACCATTGAATATCACGTCAATGATCTTACGGTTTGGACGCTATCTGTTAGACCTGGGGTTTCTGAGCTCGACCGATCCTTGGCGAAATCGCTGTTGCCTATTGCTAAGGATTTCCATAGCAGGATGTGACAGCTGTCCAATGCTTCCTGGTCCTCAATAGCTGTCTGACTAGTGTCACTTTGGGTATGTGAACTATAAGTACTTACACTCAGTCAATGTAATATGTGTAATGGTTATGCAACAATAGATATTAGTCATTATTAAGTAGTATAATTGCGATATATAAATCTCATAATAATCCTATATGTTCTTTTAATTTCCTTGTTAACACATAATGCAACTCAGTATCATTATAAAGGGTTGTGTCGTTAGCTTTAAATTAAACTCTTGCTGTTTTAAAGTTCACTTTTCTAATCTGTTTATCTATTTTGACTATTGAACAATTAATTTTTGCACTACATACTGAAATGATAACAATTGCGTAGTTACTAATTTCATACTTTAATGTCAAAAATTTTCACTAAATTGTCACATTATAAGTGTTGATTATAGTCTTTGCTAAATGTGTTTGTTTAAATGAATGAATAAAATACATTTTAATAGTTGAGATCATGGTTCAATTGAAGCTAAACCACTATGGAAAACGTGGAAGCACTGGACGGTTGTTTCGTCCTATTTTGGAACTCCTCCGCAGTGCGCATCCACGAGATTCGAACCCAGGACTTATCGGTCTCGTTTCGCGAGCATTTGACCTCTAGACCACTGTGCCGGCCGGCATCCAACGGTGTTAATGTCTAACTTCAGCTAATCCACGAAACATCCACCATTGTCTTCAGTGAGTTACTAACTCACAACGGACTCGGTTGAACTCCACTGATCACTGTTCTTCACCAGAACTGCAGGAAATACCTCTTGAAGCCAATCACCATTGAGCATATGTTGATCAGTATCAGAAGAGGTTTTGTGGGTATTATAGTAATTTTAATAACTGAAATCATGAATCAATTGAAACGACCGTCCAGGTTTTCCATGGTTGTCTAGATTCGATTGACTCATGATCTCAACCATTAAAATTACTATAATATCCACAAAAACCCTTCTGATATTAAAATACATTTTGTTGAATAAGCATAGATCAGCGATTATCTGGCTAGTTAAAACCCCCCAGAAAATCGATAGAATCTCACCTTTTGTTTGAGTAGCAGTCGGCTAGTCGTATATGATTGACGTCCGATGATTTATAATCTGCAGTTGAATAATGAATTAAAATTAATTAGTTTGGAGGAAAAAAACATTTTCAAAGCATTTTTTCATCAACAGTACCTGTTCTCCGTCTATATTATAGAACGATGCTGATCCTCTGATCAACAATGATTTGTCGGGAACTGTGGTACTCTAAGATTTACTTCCTTCATTGATAACAATTATTATTAAGTTCTTCATTGTTTAGTGTATAAATTACATATTTTGATAAGTGTGTGTGCATTTATTTTCAGTCCCATCTAATCAGAAACTGACTTTTACCGATTAAATCCGTTTTCATTTATGTTAGTGATAAACTACTGTACTTCTGGTATCAAGAGGGTGTGTGTATGTCATTTATTTCTTGTAATGATTAATTGTGCTCTTGTCTTTGATTAACATGTTTGTTAAAAATCTTAAAAAAATTTTTTGTATTGTTCTCTGAATCTTTATAGAATGGTTTACGAAAACACGGTTTATTTATATATGATGTTGTGTGTATCTACGGTCGAGATTGTCGTAAATTACCATACAGGAAAAGGTAAGTACATGTTGTTCTTATGTTTATTTCACTCATTGATTTAAGATATAATCGTTGAATATACTCATATTTATTACTATTGAGATTATTGTCTTTAGATATACAACTTTTACCTACTTACTGTAGACATCCGGTTGTTTGTATTATATAGACAAGTAGATTAGGAGTCTAGAACCACTGAAAATCAGTTGTGTTTTATCAATGGATGAAGTTCGTTTAAGGTGTGTTGAGATTGTTCCGATATTCTTTGGTCAATGTCTACCTCGCTAATTGAAATATCCGTTGTTGGAAATGATTCCGTTGCAGCGGTGCGGATTCGTTCATTGTTTACTTTCATCTATTTGGTTATTTGTGATTATTTTTCATTCTCCGAAATCATTTACAGAGTATATTCTCCATTATTTTTCACTATTTACGCATCTACTTTTTTAATTTTTATCTTGTTAACATCGTCTCTCTCACTGTTTTGGAGACAGACTCATGAGGACAATGTCATATTCGATACTGTTTACGATTAACTAACTGAATAATACAAACTAGTATGCTAATGGATTTTAATCATCAAATTTTTCTGCAACTTATGATTGTCAGTTAGTCTTGAAATCTAGACGTTTTACTGTCCAATGTATTTTCAAGTTTCAATTGACGAGTCCTTATTGTTTGGTAATTCTGTGACTGAAATTACAAAAACTCTGTACTCAGTCTTTATTACAATTAACATGCTCGTAATAAATGAAAGTTTATTATCAGCAAACTTGTATATTCTCTATACAACAAATAGTTCCAAATTCATTTTAGTCAGTACAAGTCTATACATATTTAATATTAATCAGTCCATGATGCCATAGATTGTTGAAGTTAGCCCTGGTGGTAGATGAAAACCATCCTAACCAGCTGTCGGAGACGTTAGATGATTATATAACTCAGAATCCGTTACAATAATTTAGATAAATTCAATCCCTACTTCATCTTAGACCCCTGAGTTTTATGGTTGTCTTATAATTTTTCAATCCAGGAATTTATCCTTCTGGAATCATATCGTCTATACCCAGACTTTTCTATTAATATCATTGATAGTGTAACTTTCTACTACTCTTACATTTGTCTTGATAGTTTCACTGTACTGTTCCCATGTAGATTGTATGTTAACGTGTATCGATGCATATACATTTACTAGGTTTTACTACATATTGACGTACAACTAACATACTTATTAAATGGTAACTTCGTTTACAACATAGATGTTTATGATTCCTTTCTTCCTCTTCCAACATACATTTTATTTGTTAGAATGGAATTAGCTGAACAAATGACAAATGTAATTAATTTTCCAGATATGACTTCATCCAATGTTCGTGTACCACCATTTCTAAAATTGTCAGAAATAGTTGATTATGTGAAAAAGTAAGTTGTGTAATTTTTGCCCGTTTCGTCTTCTTCTTCTCCTTCTTCTTATTTTTAAAATGCATTTACATGTTTATAAAAGCCTTTGTATATTATATCTGTATTACTTTGTGAATGTCAAACTTTATCTATACAAGCACACAATATGGTTGAGATGCAAAATTCTAGTCGTAAATATCTCCGAACCATTATTAGGGTATTATGGGACGATAACCAGGTAAGCAACACCGAGGTTAAACATACGGTATTCTGTAATAATGATAAATTTTTCAATGAAGCTGTAAATCTTCATCAAACTCTTATGACAACTGAATCTTAACGTACATTTATGCCCGATTTAATGTTGATTAAGACTGACTAATTATATTTGCGCACCTAATGTATGGTATATTGATTTCATAACCGATTACTAAACTCCCTTTACTCTATGAATATTAAACTGAAAGTAACTAAAACGTAGGTGACTGTACCGTTTAAACTTTCTTTCTTCATAGTTTATTATATTCTTAGTAATTGTAACTTTAGTCTGTTTTGATGCTGATAAGAAGCATCGAAATAGAATGAAATCATTGTATTTTGTAAATCTTATTGTCTTTGCTTTGTTTAAGTTTATTAACGATTGAAGTTAAATAAAGTAGGATATATCATACCACTTGAACATCTCATTGGTTATTTTAAGGAATAAATAGTTTTATATAGAATGTGATTGCATTCGAAACAGTGGATACTACTAACATTGACTTAAGTACATTAAACCAATTAATCGTAAATATAAAAATTTCATTCTTAACTACACATAGATATTGGTACAAGGAGGCACCAAATACATATGCGCCACACTAATCTCATTTGATATGTGTGAGGGCTGTGATACTGCTCGGGTGCTCAAACCGAAGCAGGTGGTTCTCTTAGACGGCCATACCTGGAGCCTTTGACTTAAAGGTCTAATCCACAAGTCAGTTGAACAACATAAGGAGATGCAGTCCCATGTTAGTCGGTGACCAACGATTGGTTCATACGCCATTTGTTTCTACAGGTTACTGGAGCTCATGTGCACCATTGGTTTTGAATCAAGGTTTTCCAACTGCCCTAGGTGGACTCTCCATACCCACCAGTCCGGTCAGAGCGCCAAATGTTCGCTTTTTGTCCTCTCAATTTTGTGAACTAGATTAGGTATGATAGAAAAAAAAGACTTTTCAATAGTTTTCCCAGGTATCAATGTATTATGTCAGTAGTTTCTTAACTGAGTCCTACCATTAACGAATGACCTCACCCTCTTACAAATCAATCATTCCTTGAATTTGTCCCTGTTTTAATGGCAAGTATGCAGCCTAGTAATATCCTGGATTTCAAAACTTATTGGTAATTCTGATTATAAATTTGTCTTCTATGGTCACCCTCCCTCATTTTGATCAGTTTTATGACTTATTAGAATAATCATAACGCCGCCTGGAGTCCCTCCAGGGGCTACTGCCGGTCACAAGCCCGGATGAAGAAGGAGGGTTGGGCATGGGGTTAGCGACTCCATCACGTAGAAAACTTACTCGCTAAAAAACGCTAACCAGAAAAAAATTATTCTTACCTTTTAAACTCTGCCCTGGGAGTCAGAAGGTCTTCATTTAGAAGAGTTATGACGCCTCATAATGAAAGCCGAGTTCCTTAGGAAGTCACGAGGCCGATGCCCCTTCTGACAACCAGAGCAACCATTTATTTAGGTACATGGAATGTTCGTACAATGTGGGAGACCGGGAGAGTCTTCCAAATTGCTGCAGAAAAGATAATTATGGTGCTACACTTTCTAAGTGTATATGTTTTGTTAGCACTATATATATTCTATCCAATCGTTTTTTTTATTTGTTCCTTGTTACAGACTACCTCTTCTACCGTGTAAGGATTCACCAACACTTGTACCAATGCATTGTTTACCCGATGGTTTTACATTTCAACCACATTCTTTGTTATTAGTACAACATATGACAGGTAAGTAGGATGTTAACAATTGGTTTGGATTATTATCATTGCTGCACTCATCTACCCCGAACTCATTCACTCACCATGTTTCAGTTGGCTATTTTATTGAATTTTGTTTTGCTATGTCATGTTATTACAGATACTTGTCAAGCTTTTGTTTATCACTTTTAAAAGCTGATTCATATCAAGAACTTGATACTAAGCTGGGAAAAAAATCGCTGAAAACTCAAAAAATGTTGTTCTAGATAGGTAGTTTGTGCAGGTTTTCTACTTATTGACAGTACCAACTCATGATTCCATACGATCAGTGTGTTGTATACAACTCAAAACCCTGTATATATGTTCATCAATCTGTAAATTGTCACAATATAATACCGCAGTGAGATGAATATCAAAATAATGTTAATAGTATCTGTGTCAGCTAAAAAGCTCTATAGATAAAGAATATGATTTGTGAACAACGAATGAATCCGCGAAATATAAATGATAAAAGGATCTTGTAAATCATGATTTAAAGTCAAATAACGAGTACATAGATCTGGATCATTGCAACTAATTCTGAGCTCTCACCTAACATCATCTCTTGCTATCGGTCACAATAATCGTCTAAATCACAACTAGATTATCTGGTTACATTTCCTCCCTTCAATTTTCTTCCAGTTTACTTCTACACCGGCAAATATTATGTATCGAGATAGATTGCTGTTGAGGATACGTAACACATGTCCGACTTTCATTATCTCATAAACTGATTTATCACTGATCTCTCTAAAACCTTGAGTCTTACCTTAATATTGCTCACTTGTTCGTTCACAATATATACACGAGAAATCCTTCTAGGACACCTATCATCGAATAATTGTTTTCTACATTTGAAGACCACGTTTCACTCATAAAGTAAAATAGAGCGAAATATTGCACAAGGAACTCTCCTCCTTGTTGCTAACATTCAAACGAGCTTTCTGAATCGATACCGAACTGCACCAGAATATCAAACGTGATATTCTTGGTTCACACATTGGGCATTACATATTTTAAACTGTTTGCGATCCCTGATTGAGAAAAATTGTTCAAACGTCTCGATCACATCAAATGTTTACACTCGGATCATTCTCTAGTTTGAGCAGGACTATTATTCACTCTCAATTCAGGAAATAGAACGTATCCACAGAACACTGCAGGGAACAAATAATAATTGTAATATCTTAATGAACTAAAAAAATTAGATTTCGTGACTCAGTTTAAGCAAATTCTTCATAGAATAAATAACTAAATTAAAATTATCCCAAGTTCAGAAATATAACAAAGGAACAAAACAAGAATATTAGATACCTTGTTCCCTCGTACTATTGGGTTACACTGGGTCACAAAACATCAGGAAATCTAATTTTTCTACTTATTTTTATTTATAACAATCTACCCAATGCTCAATTTATTTGAAATTATTAAGCCAAACTTTGGTAGTAGTAATAATATATACTTTATGGAACAGTTCACTTGGCTTTGGAACACATTCCAGTTACCGTCTATTTTCAAGCAACTTGAGCTTCGATATCACCTACAACGGTTTTTGTGTTTTTATTTGACTAATTTATATTTTATTTTTGAGTCGTATCTTTGATGCATCATCTTTCTTATTAGCAATGATACTGTTAATACCTCTACTAATGTGGGATTTTGTCTGACAACTTCATTTTTGTGCGCTAATGTCATACGACAACTTGAACCGTTGTGACTGACTAAAGATTCTTTTCGTTCTCAAGTATTTATAAAGGATTTTGCTTTATTTTGAACCGGAATCGTTATATGCTTTATATGAAGTGACTTTTTACATGATCTAAGTAATATCATCATGTTTTGTTTAGTTGTTGTTCAGTCATTAATGAAACTTCAAATTTCTATTTGTTTTTGTTTGCTGACAGATAATTGGACTGAAGAGATTAGTAGGAGTACTGGAAAGGTGTATTACTTTAACCGAGTGAAATCTGAATCCACTTTTGATTTACCAGAAAGTGAACACTTGTCATTCACGTGAGTACATTGTTCTGAGTACTTTTCGCAGTAATATAACTCAGCGTAATTACAAAGTACCAATTTGTATAGTCCGGGTCTTTGAAGTACTCTATTTTCATGGGGTTTGAACTGTCGACCAAGTGATTGAAAGTTGCATGCCTTAATGATCTCAATTGTTTCATTTACGTACTGCTCCGATAGTGGTTTTTCGACAATTATATCGCATATGTTTGATTAGCCAGGTATTTATCGTTGTTGTTCACACTTAGAGTGTGACAGAAAAACAAGAAACGTAAATAGGTTTCTTGGTTTTGAAGTATTGGAGCTCCTAAATAATTTACTACATAAGTGCTTTTAGACTGTGTTCTAGAAAACTGATTCGATTGATAGTGGAAAGAGTCTCCACTCTTCAAATCAAATGGTTTGTATTTAGCCGCTCGTTTATAGCATCCTCAATGGAAGTCTTACAACTCTGCAAAGATGAACTAGGTTGGTGACTACGGAGAGTTCACCTGGAGGATTTGTAAGAAACTGGTTTGAAACTAATGATTCATATGTGTTTCGACATTTTGAGGAAACAAATGTACGAATCATTTTTTTGGTTACCAGATACCACAAGATTGAATCTCCTGTGGTTGCTTCATTGTTTTTCTTTTTCGATTGAACGTTTTTGTCAAAAGCTCTCTTAGTGTCGTCAAAGGAAATCACTTGCTTTGTAATATCAAGTCCTCCCTCCTCCTCAGTTTATGATTATTTCTAGATTAACTGACTAAATACTCAAGCTATAACTGAATATCTAGTATCAATTTTATAGATGCTTCTGATCTCTATAAAAATACTAAACCTACTAGTATAGGTTCTTTTACCTTCCGACTTCGTTCACTGTCTTGGGTTTCGAATATTGCAGTCAGTCAGTAAGAACGTAGAGCTTCGTACGTACGTACATCCATTCGAGTTGCCATACCACATTACCACACAGATATAATTATCGATTCAAATCTCATAATGGTAGAGATAGTAAGAGTATAAGTAGTAATCGGAGACATTAGGTTTGAAGATGTTATTTAAGGAATATAATCCAATGAAATAAATTTGGAAAGAGAAAAACGAAAGGGACACGAAAAAATTCAGAAGATTAGAATTTGGGAGAACACAAAGAGTGGATGCACCTGCGCCATTGCAAAAGATTTTGAACCATGTCATTCAAGGTCTCTAACCATCGGTCGCTATCGTCTCACGGATCCCAACCAGGTAATTTACACGTACCAACATGACTCAGTCCACTTGTCAATGACTTCATAGATTTGTGCCATGTTTTGATCTAGCCGCCCCTGTCTTTCTTCCAACCTACCCGAATATTGCAAAGGTAGATTTTTAGATTTCAGTCAACTCTATACCAAACATACAATACTTGTTTTAAATGGTTTAATATTTCTCTACTAATCATCTTTTATTTATCTATCACAAATTATTATCATCATGTCTAATTTCTTCATTCTTTTTTTTTTCTTCTATTCTCCTTTGATGTTCAATACAGCGATACACATTACACAAAACTACCTTGGATAACAGAACAAAAATATTATCCAAGTGTTACTACTTTAGTACAATATTTAGAAAAAATGTCAGATCCTTATTCATAGTTGCTGGGTGATATGCATAATTATTCATTGGTTCAGATTATTTGTTTTCAATTTCATTCTAGCACACACACACTCACAAACACTTTTTGTATGTTTCTTTTTTGTTTATTCATGAAGAAAATAACAATAACCTAATTGTTTGCCCCCTTTGTATAAATTTTTTTCTTGATTCGTAGTGTTTGTTTTATCGCAAAATATTTTCAATGATTTATAAGAGGAGTAAAAGATGATGATGATGAGGGGGGGATCCCATTCAACTAAAAAGGTGGCGGTTTGGATTATTTTGTTGTTAGGTGATTAAAGTTATAAAACTAGTTATGGACAATTTTTTTTAGTTTTGCATAAAATTTAATATTTGTTACTGTAAGTTTTTGTTTGGCCTCCTCAAGATTGTCTGTATCATACAGCGTTTTCAAAGTTGATAACAATGTCTTTTGTAGAATCCCATGAATTGATATGACATTTAGTCCTTTCTCTTCTCATATATAAGTTATACAATATACCCTTGTAGGTCAGGGTAATTTTACGTTTCTTTTCAAAAGAACCAGACACGATCCAGGCTTAAACTTTATAACCTGAACAGTACAGCTCAATCGCGTTTCGCAAGAGAACCAGACATCATATAGGCTTTAACGCTACAATCTGAATAGTACAGTTCAATCCTGTGGCAAAACCACACAGGTACCAATCACCCTAATCTAATGTGTATAGTTGATTACAAAATATTAAAATGAAATTGTTTTTCAGGGATCAGTTTTCATGATAAGTAAAATTGTTGTCTAAGGTTATCCAAAAGGATGTTGATGTTTAACGAGTAATTATGCTTTACATAACATATTCAACTTCTCTATCCCCTTATTAGATCAGTTCTGGATATTGGACTGTAATTTGTTCATCAAATGATTTCATTTCGGCTGTTTGGAGTTATCCATAACTGTTTATTATGAACATGTCAGTGTAGCGCAGCCAATTTATCGGATTAAAAACACAAATATAATGAGTGTTAGGGTTTGAAAAGAATTTCTCTACTGAAAATCATTGTGTTATATATCAAAATTTGCTACTGAATGAGGCCCAATGTCTCATTCAAAATGAATGAAGATAATGCAGCGTAGAGAGTTTTCTTGACGATTTAATTTACCGAAGGTTTACAATCATATTCGTCGTTAATTTAACTTGCCCCCAAATGCCTTGCTACAGCTGAAAGTGGGGAGAGTCAGCTCTCCCTCTCGAAATACTCTCACATGGTCACGTATATACAACCACTGCCAGCGAAGTCCTACTCACTGCCTTCTCGAGGCCGGGGTGTTGTTTACGAAATTGAGAGAACGGAAAGAGGGTTGGTGAATATGGAGGATCCACCTAGGGGAGTTGAAAAATCCTGATTCCAAACCAATGGTGCACACGGACACCAGTACCCTGAAGGAACAAATAGTGTATGAACCAATTGTTTGTCACCGGCTACCATGGGACTGCATCTCCTTATGTTTTTCAACTGACTTGTGGATTAGACCTTTAGTTCGAAGGCTTCGGGTGTGGCCCCCTAAGAAAACCACCTACTTCGGTCTGGGCACCCGGACAGTATCCCAGTCGTCAAGAAATAAAATGATTTATGTGGCGCATGTAGATGTAAAAGTCTTTACATATCTGGGCAGCATCATTGATGAACAAGGTGGATCTGATGCAGATGTGAAGGCGCGGATCGGAAAGGCAAGAGCAGCATATTTACAACTGAGGAACATCTGGAACTCAAAACAACTGTCAACCAACACCAAGGTCAGGATTTTCAATACAAATGTTAAGATAGTTCTACTGCATAGTGCGGAAACTTGCAGAACTATGAACGACATCATCCAGAAAATACAGGTGTTTAACAGTTATCTGCACAAAATACTTTGGATTCGTTGGTCAGGCACTATTAGCAACAACCTACTATGGGAGAAAACAATGCACATCTCAGTAGAGAAAGAAATCAGGAAGAGGCGCTGGAAGTGGATAGGACACACATTGAGGAAAGCACCTAACTGCGTCACAAGACAAGCCCTCATACGGAATCCTCAAGGTCAAAGAACACATTACGCCGGGAAATGAAGATAGACATGAGAAAAATGAACAAGAATTGGATGGAACTAGAAAAGAAGGCCCAGAACACAGTTGGTTGTAGAATGCTGGTGGTAAGGTAAGTATATGTGGCGCATATGTATTTGGTGCCTCCTTGTACCAATGTCTACGTGTTAAAATAATTAAATCACTTGCTAAAATAGTAAAAAAAAGAATGATGTTGAACAATTAAACATTCTTGAAGTGTTATGTTATCATGAACTGTTTACGAAAATCAGATATTGAAGGGAAGTTATTTACTAATCGGTTTATAAGAAACTTCAATGATAAAGACAATTGGTCCACTTGAAAGCTATTAAGAACAGAATAATTGAGTGCTCTAATGATGACCAATTGATAGTTGTAAATATAATTTAAAAAAAAGAGTAGAAATAATAATTTTTCATAGTAAAATCATAGATTACGGAAGATTGTGAAAGGAAGTTTACGGCTATGGAAGAATAAAGGACTGAATATATTGTCTTCGTAAGCAAAGAGTAAACTTGAACAAATAGATAGTAATAGTCTCTTCTGTACATAAGTTTTTTTCATTTGCAGTCCTTTTGAGCTTAATCTTCTGACCATAATTTTAAAATGGGATTCTGGTGAAGCAGAATGACTAGTATTGAATAGGTGCTTCAAGATAAAAGCTTTTGACAGACTTTCTCAATCCTTTAGACATGTATGTAGATTAATGTCCAGAGATGCTTTTCGAAAGGGCAGATTTATGAAACCCAAAGCGGGAGATTATCCTCCACACAATTACAAATCATGGACCGACTGGTAAAGACAATACAAAGCTTAAGCGATTAGAAACTTTTTCTCAGTGATCTCGAAAGTCTTTCACAGTGCTACTGTAGTAGCTCGTTTAAATTGAGTTTCCATAAAGAAAGAGTCCTCTTTGGTGCTATAGACACTGTTTCACATTGTTGTTTTGGCTTCAGATTTTTCTCAATAAATCTGGATTGTTATGTCTTCTACTTGATTGCTGCAAAATACGACATACAATTAACGGCACTCGGACGTGTGGAACCCCACAGTGGCAAAATCAGATGTAAGAAGCAGGGAAAGTGATTATAGAGTATGAATAAAAAAGGTACAGAAAAACGGGTACTTATGGTTATTAGCGTTGGTTACGACATCATTATAATTTGGTCGATCCACAAGGAAGCAATTTATGCTATTGTCTAATCGTAGGATGCCACATCGATTTTCTAGACAGCTATAACAGGTTTCCATTGGATGGAATCTCTACGGTTCGTTAGAGTCTCCAGAGACTTGTGCTTTTCGAAGGACGTGCCAATATAAATATTCATTATTCATAAAAATCTGCTGCAATTTCGATATACATGGCATTTTCGGTCAAATGTCGTCTAGCCCTCTTGCAGAGAGTATAGATCAAGTTCCTCTTTTGCTTCAATTTCCAATGCTTGGTCCCATCGAGGACAGTTAGTCAATTTGTGAATATAGTGTTGTTTAGCGATTCATTATCTTTTATATACACTTGTTATTACAGAGCAGTTACTCACATCTAATGAAGATTGGTCTTATGAATATGAGAATGAATGGATTTTTGGGATTATCTGTTTATTTCGATAAATTTGATTTTACAAACTGCATGATCTGTGTCAGCTTGGATTCTTAAAGACATGGGATATCCATATGTTTGTAAAGACTTTCTAAAATGATACAAAATTATATTTCATTGTTCCTATATATTAAAGACTGGAATTTTTTTTAAATATAAAATTGGGTAACTGTGAGACATTTATACCTGTTGTTCAGTCAGTAACTTTTAGTTATGTACGTAGTCATAGCAATTATGCTCGTTATCAAACAGCTTAAAGAATAAAGCTTTTAATTAGCTGTTTCTGATCCGAATCTTGTTCCTACATTAGAATATCTAACCTTTCCTAACATTGTAGATTAAAGTCGGTTTTAGGTAACCAAATAGGTTTGATAAGAAAGTGTTTTGTGTTGACTACAAAAATTCGTTTGCGGAATACGTTCTGGCCATGAGATTATACGATCGCCAAACTGGACGGAGTGATATACATAAATACAATATCCGACTGACAATAGAGAACCAGGTTATATGTTTACGATAACACATAACAAACTGTCTCCAGTTAATGAATCAAGGAGTAGAAATCGGCAATAGAAAGGAATGCACAATATTATTAGTTTTTCAACGTTTAACAAAGCTAAGTGTCTATTTCATAGGTCTATCACAGTCTACTGTCTTATGACATCAGTTTTCCATTAATGTTATTTTCGCCAAGTTGGCCGATGTCTTAAATTTATCATTATTGCATGGGTGTTTTCGTACGTTTTTCTATCGACAAGTACATATACTTTCAATCGGCTGCTTTGTAAGATGGGTATTCGCTGGGTAGTTTAATATATGGAATCGTCAATCCAGTTATCCCATAAGAGATTCATGAAAATCAAAAGTTCCACTAACTGGATCCATCCGCCTAATCTATTTTATTATTCCTTTTAGACGCTATTAATTGTCTTCAAATATCAGATTTGTCAACTTCTATATTGCTCATAGAAATTCTGAATTATCAGACAAAATAGGGTTATATTATCGATTAATTAACCACAGTATAAGTATGTCTAACCAGTCATTCTCAATCTGATGAGAGGGTAATACAATAGTTATAACTTAAACATCCGTGATAATACATTCATGCCGTATAACACACAGTTGAAAATGAAGTGGGTACCAAATAATTTGTTTAGTTCATTTACGTCCATATGATGCAGTCGTAAAGGGTACCCAAACCAAGATATGGTATTAGTCTACGATATCACTAACTGGTGATCTCGATCATTCAAGTAATTTTACACTACCTAGTTGGAGTTCACGATGACTGAATATCTTGTGTATCAAAATCGACCAATAACCCGGATACATACATTCTCCTTTACACTAAGTTTCAACACTATTACATATTCCTTGTATCCAGAATTCTGGTTAGCGCTTTTTAGCGAGTTAGTTTTCTACGGGATGGGGTCGCCAACTATCCCCCTTTACCCGCGCATGGGACTGGCAGTAGCCGCAGATGGGCTCCTAGGCAAGACCTCACTTGCATTTCTCAAGGCCAAAGAACACGTTACGCCGAGAAGTGGAAACAGAAAAACATGAGAAGAATAAACAACAATTGGATAGAACTAGAAAGAAAGGCTCAGGACAGAATGGGTCGGAGACTGCTGGTCAGAGGACTATGCTCCCTTAGGAGTAACAGACGTAAGTAGGTAGTAAGTGTTCAAAATTCAATTATATTGTCTGTGCTATCTTTTTCTACCATCATAGATCACCACTTAACTTCTACTTTATATATTTTATTCATTTAATCTTTTTTACGCTGTAGTTTGTAGCAAATTATGTCAACGTACATTGATGTTATCATATGCAGATGAAGACAAATAGTTTAGCAGTAGCCTCTGAATTATGAGGTCTCAACATACACAAGGAAAAAACCGAAGTCCTCAAATACAACACGGAGAACATCAACCCAATCACGCTTGATGGTGAAACTCTGGAGGATGTGAAATTCTCCACTTACCTACGAAGCATCATCGATGAACAAAGAGGATCAGATGCAGACGTAAAGGCGAGGATTGGCAAAGCAAGGATCGCATTCCTACAATTGAAAGACATATGGTACTCAAAACAACTTTCAACCAATATCCAAGTCATAATCTTCAATAAGAATGTCAAGGCAGTTCTACTGCTCGGAGCTGAAACTTGGAGAACTACTACAACCATCATCAAAACAGTACAAGTATTTATAAATAGTTGTCTACGCAAGATACTCAACATCCATTGACCGGATACCGTCAACAACATCCGTCTGTGGGAGAGAACAAATCAGCTTCCAACCGAAGAGAAAATGAAGAAAAGATGTTAGAAGTAGATAGGACAAACATTACTGAAATCACCAAACTGCATCACGAGGCCATTCCTAAGTTGGAATCGTTAAGGAAGGCGGAAAAGTGGAAGGTCAAAGAACACATTACGTCGAGAAATATAAGCAGATATGGAAAGGATGAATAAGAACTGGAAGGAGCTGGAAAGGATTGCCTACGACAGGTTTAGATGAAGAGTGCTGGTAGGCGGCCTATGCTTCTCCACGAGGAGTAATAGACGTAAGTAAGTTACATTGATGCCATATCCTACATCATATTTGATTAATTATCTTTTTTACTACAAAGAGCCTTTATTAGAGAATTCACCAGAAAAAGAAATGGTTCACTCTTTAAAATAATCTGTACAATGATGCATTATAAAAATCAATACTAAGAGTGTATGATGTAATTTTCATTTGAAACTCGGTTAAAAAATCTTCAATCTCTCATTGAGCCCATCTTCAATCTTTTTAGTAACTTCATGTATATATACGTAACACTTAAATCACAACTGTTCCACTGGATTTATTCATATTTACACGATTTGTATTGATTGTACAAATTCCTGGTGGAATATGACTATTGATATTCTTCTTACTACCATTATTATTATTATCATTATGAAGTAATAGTCGTCTTCCATGAAATTCTGGTGATAGAAATCGTCTTATTTGTAATGATGAATCACATAATAATTGTGATGGATGATATGAAGTATAGTTTTGATTAGTCGGTGTTATATTGATCGGATGTGTTATATTCTTGAAATGATGATGATTTGTTGTATTATTACTTTCTGATATATCTTGTATTAAATTTGATGATTGTTCATTATTAGGCGCTATTGTTGTTGTATATTTCATAAGAAGTTCACGACGTTTTCTTTGAGAATAACAACATATTATAAAGATACATATTGATGCAATAATTAAGATTGCAGCACATACTATTGGAACTAATAAACGTGGACCTGAAATGAAACACGAGAGAGAGAGAGGAATATGTAATCATTTGTGATCTTAAATATTATTAGGTTATGAAACTACCGCTGAATACTGAATTGATCTACTATATCTTGAGAACATATTAATGAAATACAATATAAAAATCCTGGCCGTTGTTGCTATCTTAATGTGGTGGTCGAGCTATACTGGCTAGAACAATCGTTTCTCAAGATTCTACCATGTCCGACAGGTCGGTTGAAGAGCGGTAACACTAAAAGTAACAAACTCAAGGTCGTACTGCTGACTGTAGAGAGGTGCGATGGCACTGAGGTATTTTCCTCAGACAACCAGCATAATAGCGATACTGCCTTCCCACAAAGGAAGGGTGGGGTTAGAAAAGGTCGACCCTAAAAATGTACATCTCGCCTTATCCCACGGATATCCGTCTCCGGCGGTAAGGTCCCAACAAGTACGGAGCTAACACAAAAATGTGTGTGAACGACCTCAAGCAGTTATCCATTGAGCACTGCGATCACGCTCTCAGGTCACTATGACCAATTTTAACCCAATTCCTTTTTCAGGTATCTCTAGAAGAAACCTTACACAGTGTGGACAACCGGGAAGTGATAACTAACCTCCTACCTCTAACAGCCTTTAAGATCACTGACTGACTGACGATATAAAAATATCACGACTGAAACTTTTCTTCAAGTACGATTGATTCGTACCGATAATCATATTCTTTTAAGAACAGATATGTCATGTTGATGTAAGAATAAATCCATGTAATGAATCGCTGCCGTTTTTGTTTTGTCCTATTATTTTATAAAACTTATTAAACTTACATTATGTACTATATGCCCCAAATTCGATGTAGATTCCAATCCAGTTTGCCTCGTACCATAACTTACTTACTTACTTACACCTGTTAGTCCTCGTGTAGGAGCATAGGTCGCTCACCAGCATTCTCCATCCAACCCTGTCCTGGGCAATCCTTTCCAGCTCCTTCCAGTTGTAATTCATCCTTTTCATATCTGCTTCTATTATCCGACGTAATGTGTTCTTTGGCCTTCCTCTTTTCCGCTTCCCTTCAGGATTCCAAGTTAGAGCTTGCCTCGTGATGCAGTTTGACGATTTGCGTAATGTATGTCCTATCCATTTCCATCGTCTTTTCCTAATTTCCTCTTCAGCTGGAAGTTGGTTTGTTCTCGTACCATAAACCTAACCTCAAACCTGTGTTTTCACTATTCTGAGAGTGATTATTCAAAGATACCTATATTCAAAAACCTTACAACCTCTTCGTATTCTTCACCTTTAAAGGGAATATTTCACAGTCATAAAGTAGTACATAGCAAACTATCACAATAATAAGTAAACAGACAACTGATATGCATCACAATCATGCAGAACAAGGGGATTGAAAGTTATTAAATTGAATTACTGTTTAATAATATTTACACTTACCAAAATCATTTTCATTTACAACCATTGTATCAACTTGAATTTCAATTATACCAAGCAATACTCTATGCCAATAATCATCTAATTGATCAGTGCCTAAAATCATAGACATCGGCGGTAACGGTATGCCTTCATCATCATCATCATCATCATCCTCATCATGATTACTGTCATTATTGGCAAACTCATAATTCCTGTCACTTCCACTATTGAATAGTTTCAAATTATCTTTACGTAATTTTAAATTAGTTGATGCAGCTAAATAAGCTTCTTTAGATAAATTTCTAGCTAATTCATGAATAAACGAATATTCTTTACCATCTGGACCAATTCGAACTTGACCATTCAATGAACTAAGTGTTACCTTTTTTAGGTAATGGGAAAAGAATAAACATGAAATGCATTGGATAATATGTTGATAGTGTATACAAAGATTGATAATTTTGTTCACTGAACTATATCCAAACCGAAACTAACAGTTTTCCTACCGCTGCAACTCTCAAACCTTTAACATTGAATTTCTGTCCGTTCGACAACACAATCGCATCAGGGAATACAATTCTGTGGTAGCTAATAACTAGAGCAGATTCGTGCAATATTTATTTCTTTGGGACAGTGTAGTTTATTTACATTACTGTCCGTATCCACTGGCCTGGTTCAAAGGTAAGACTGCCAACACAAAAACTTGACCCACAAGAATATTACAAATATAAAAAATGATATCCTGTCAAATCACACAAAGGAGTTACAAATGCCTCCGGTTAACCAACGAAGTTGATGAAGATTATCTAGCATACGCAAGCACGATTATTCTACAAGCTGATCGCTTTAAATTAAATGGATTATCAAATGATCAGTTTAAATGTCCATCATTTGTTTTCTAGACTAAAATTACCCACAGATGTTGAAGTGTGAACACGATTACTATTCTGCTTTGAAGATAATGGAATGGCATTACAAATGATTACTACCAAGTGTGAACACCTGGTAAATCTAAAACATGACACTACAGAGATAGAAGCTAAAGGAGGAGAAACCTCAATAAATTATAATAATCATTCTGTCAAACCAAGCAGACAAAATACTGTTGGTGTCAACAATCAACGCCAAGTGAAATTACGGTTTTGTAGTGAATAACATTTCACCAAAACTTGTCGTTATCTAAATCACTGATGTAATGTCTGGTGTATTCTACTGATGTCGATAGATATAAGTAGTATGTATCACCAATCGAAAGTGAAGTGCCTTATGCCAGAAAGTTAAGAAGATCGAAGAGAAGTGAACGAGAACAGAGAGTGAGTGGTGTGGAAATGAAGGAACAATGAAGTCTGACACGATTGATTGACATTTTTCAAATAAAGAATTTACTGTTTGGTTCTCAGATTTTACCGACATATTCTGTAAGATTGTGTTTAAATACATTTGGTTGTCCCCACTTGTGGGAACAATCAGGGCAGATATTATGGGTAATATTGAATAATAATCACTCTGTGTATCAATTATTGAATTTAAGTCTATGATCTAAATATATGATGCTTACACTAAGAGAATTGACACTCCTAGGCTTAATTCCGTCTAGAGTCATTATGTATGTACGTGATGTCGAGGACTTCCAAAGATATTCAATCCTCCATTGTTTTTTAATGATGCTTTCATTTTTAAGAATAAAAAAAATCAAGTTTAGGTTATATGATTAAAAGATGCCCCCGAGTGCCCTAGTACGGCTGAGAGTGAGGAGAGTCAGCTTTCATATGACCACGTGCATACAACCACTATTAGGAAGGTCCTACTCACTGCCTTCTCGCGGCATAACTGTTGTTTACGAAATTAAGAGGACGAAAAGCGAATATCCGGCGCTTTAATTGGGTTGGTGGATACGGAGAGTCCACCTAGGGGGTGTTGAAAAAACCTGATTGCAAACTAATGGTGCATATAGACTCCAATATCTTGAAGGAACAAATGACGTATGAACCAATCGTTGATCAACAACTACCATGGGTCTGCATTCGCTGACGATGCTCCACTGCCTTATGGTTCAAACGTTTAGTCGAGGGTTCCAAGTGTGGCCTCCAAAGAGAATCACCTATTTCAGTTTGAGAACCCGGGCAGTATCACAACCTGCACACAAAATAAGTGCCTTATATGGTGCATATCTATAAAGATAAATAATCTTCTTCAATAATACTTATTTCACATCAAATACCAATAAAATTAAACTTACTTCTATTATATTTTGTTGTTCTATAGAATAACCAGCTTTTATATCACAACTTATACCGATATCCAATTTCCCACGACCCCCATCATCATCATCAGCAGCATCACCACCACCACCACTACTACTACTACCGTAGTGATGATATTTTTTTAATGATGGTAAATTTTTTACAGCATTACATATATCATCAATAGTTGTTGAATAAGACATACGTAATTTAGAAAAATGTAATAATAATCTAGCACAATGATTATTTAATATAAAACTATTTGGTCGACAACCCGGTAATGATTGTTTAAAATAATAATTAGGTAATAATTGTTTTAATTGTCCCTCTATTGATTGACTAGCATTTAAACAAATTGTACGTAAATAACATGGTGGTACAAAACAATCATTATTATTCAAACTATTTGATGAGATAATATGACATATTTCACCATTTTTACAAGCGAAACGATCATTTCGTCCAATAATTTGTAAACATGACCAATATCCGCAGAAATCCTAAAGTGTAGAAATGAAGTGATATGAAACAATTTAAATAAGGTTTTACTTAATTCTAGATTCTATACTAGTTGGAAGTTATTAATATCTTGCCCTCAAATGCGCTGGTATGACCGAGAGTGGGGTGGGCCCTCCCTCCCTCTTGAAATACTCTCACATGGCGATGCGTATATTACCTCTGCCAGGGAAGCCCTACTCACTGCCTTCTCGTGGAGAGGGTGTTGTTTATGGAAATGAGAGGACGAAAAGCGAATGTACGGCACTTTAACCGGATCCCAAACCAATAGTGCACATGGGCTCCAGTATGCTGCGGGAACAAATGGCGTATGAACCAGTCGTTGGTCACCGGCTAACATGGGGATGCATCTCCTCACGATGCTCCACTGCCTTGTGGGTCAAAAATTTAAGTCAAAGGCTCGGGGTGTGGCTCCCTAAGAAAACCACCTGCTTCGGTCTAGGCACCCGAGCAGTATCACAGCCCCCACACAAATCTCATTAGATTTGTGTGGCGCATATGTATCTGATGCCCCCTTGTACCAAATTCTATGTGTTCAAATAAATAAATAACTACTCTGTGTGATTATAATCATTATATTCTCATTAGTGGACAGTTTCCAAGAGGTATTTCTTGGAGTTCTAGTGAAAAGTAGTGATCAGTGGAGTTCAACTGGGTTAGTTGTGAGATAGTAACTCACTGAAAACAATGGTAGATATGTCTCTTAATTTCGTGGATTAGTTGAAGTTAGGCATTAACAGCATTGGATGTCGACTGACTCAGTAGTCTAGAGGTTAAGCGTTCGCACGTGAGACTGATATGTCCTTGGTTCGAATTTCGTGAGCCGAGATCATGGCTGCGCACTGCTGAGGAGTTCCACAGTAGGACGAAACGATCGTTCAGTGCTTCCAGGTTTTCCATGATGGTCTAGCTTCAATGAATTCATGAATTCAACAATTAAATTACTATAATATCCACAAAGCCTCTTTCTGAGTTATCAATATGGTGTATCTGCAAACTAAAGAGAACTTGATAAGTTCAGTTCTCTAATTGAATGGAACTGAATGTTTAGCTTAATTCTACTTCTTAAAAGAAATATCCCTCTACCTGAACTCTGAAAGGAACAAAAACTCTGGTGGGGGGGATAGAGAAAGAAATTTCACCATTATAGATGGCTTTTTTTTACAATAAGAAACGAAGTTTGTAGGTTTATGAATGCTGTTGATATTCTGAAGGCTTTAATGGAACAAACTAAATTTATTATCAAAAGTCAGTAGTTATTCAGTTAAGATATTACACAATCCATCGTTTTCCTAGAGCTTTCTATGAAGCTCGTATTAAAAATTGGTTACATGAATTATTTTCCTACTTCTCTCAACTGCTGAAGACTTTCTTAAGGTGTCCTAACAGGACTGATTTTATCTTAGTGGAAAGAATCCAATCAATAATATGGAGTAGATGAATATCACATTCTTTACTACTCAGTGATTAATTAGTTTAAATATTTCATATTATCAATCACTCTTTAAATTGATCAGTGATAGCATCATTGAATACGATCATGTTTAAGATTGTTTCGCACCGATGAATGAATGTAAAACAGAACGAAAGTTAGATCTAATGTTGCTTACATAAAATTGTTCCCTCTAGTCATAATGACAAGCTATTTGAATAAACATATTTCTGTTATGAGATAGTGGAGAAGGTTTGTAGCTCAGGTGTATAATTCTGACGGAGTTTTGTTTTCTAAGCTGGATGGTTTGATCGTGGAGAAGTAGGTAGAAGTATACCTGAAGTTTGTGCTGATGATGTCGTACAGAACAATGATGAAATCTCCACGACCAAACTATCCAGCTCTGAGAATGAAACTCCATCAAAATATTTCTCTTATCGATTCATCTGTTTTTTTTCTGAATGTTTAAATGAAAATCTCCATTCAAATGGAATAAATTCACTATCCTCATCTAGATTTTCATTCATTTGGTGTTGAGGATATTAGATCCTCAGAACTCACTTGGTAAATACCATATTTTTGTAATTTTTTAGGAATTTGAATTTCTTGTTTTCGCGCCAAAAACGCTTATTTTCACCTTCATGTTATATTTCCCACTTGGGAGACTCTTGAACGCTATTGGTTCATTGTATCTTTTAGTGTGCTATTTTGTAACGCTTTCCAAGGGTAATTTTATGCTGTGTATATACGTTTGATTTGTGTCTGTTGTTATTACTTATGCTTCTATCTGCTTGTGGAATATATTTCCCCATTTCGAACTTAGATTTCTCTCTCTAGTTAGCGGGGCTGGAACGCGTCAGAATAGCTAGCTTATTGGTCTTTGGTCATAGAGTCTTTTTTTCTGTTGTCAGACTAGGTGAACTCGTAATCTCTTCAAACATAGCATTCCCACAATAAAATATGGCTTTAATTTACTCAGCAAATATCAACTTGTGAATACAAAATTATTATTTAGTAGTAGCACTAGAGGAAGGACAAATAACACATTACGTCGAGAAATAGAAGCAGATATGAAAAGGATGAATAAGAACTGGAATGAGCTGGAAAGGACTGCCCAGGACAGAGTTGGATGGAGAATGCTGGTGAGTGGCCTATGCTCTTTCACGAGGAGAAACAGACGTAAGTAAAAATAAAATTAGTAGTATATACTTACATCAGTACATATAATTTGTCCTTTATTACAATGACATTGTTGACAACTATAAGTCCAATTGTCATTATGATCATAAATTCGACCATGAAAATTACATGCTGGAGGTTTTGGTTCTGTTTCAATGATCACTTCTTCACAATGTCGACCATATCGTTGTTCTGGACAAATACATTCATATGTTCCAACACGATCAATACAAGTTGATCCAAATGAACATGGATATGAAGCACATTCATTAACGTCTATAAATAAATGGGAAAAGAGAGTTAAGAATAAACGAGCATATACTAACTTTCAAGCAATATTATAGGATTTATTATACATATTAACATTTGTGAAATGGATAGGAGGATTTTATAGATCAAATTAAAGTGTAACAATTAGTCCAAATGATTAGATATCAAGTTTTTGATTGAGATCATGAACCGATTGATATTAAACCATCACAATTCAAAACCTGGAGGCACTGGACGGCCGTTTCGTCCTACTGTGGGACTCACTAGCAGTGCGTATCCACGATCTTGCGAGCGGGATTCGAACCCAGGGCCTTCGGTCTCGCGCGTGAACGTGTGGTGGTCGGTATTTGATATAATCCTTAAACTTCGTATACAGTTCGTCGCGATAACCTTTCTATATAACGTACCAACGGTATATTAATCAGAAGGCAAATACGAAGTGTCGATTACGTTTATTGCGAAACCACACACATATATCCAAATGTACAGATGTGTTAAACAAGCATAGGAGAGTTGTGCCGAAAGGCAAGCAAGCGAACGAGAGCCAGAGCAAGAGCGTGACGAGACCGTGCGAGCGAGTGAGCGATTGTGTGTTCAATATGAATAACATGGACATATATATACCATGTGAAATGAATGAGTAATCGAATCGAATAAGCGGTTAGTGTTAAGATTAGCAGAGTGAATAAATGCGTAGGCAGTAATCAATATTCAAGCATACGTATTTCATACAAGCTCAAAATAATAATAAGGATACAATACATTGCTATAGCGCGGATGGCTTTGTCCGCTAAATAAGTTAACAAAAAGGGCTTAACTGGGTTAAATGAAAATAAACCCATTAACACGTGAGTCGCTATAAACGCTCGACCAACTGGATCACTGAGCAGGCATCCAATGGTGATAGTTTCTAACATCAACCAATCCACGATTAGATATCAAACGAACCAGTCAGTCAGTAACAACGTAGAACTTCGTACGTACGTACATCAGTTCGAGTTGCCACACCACATTAGCACGGATATGCAGTTCTCGACTCGAATCTCGTAGTGGTAGAGGTAGTAAAAGTATAAGCAGTAATCGGAAAGATTAGGGTTTGGAGATTTTATCTAAAGAGTATAATCCAGTGAAATAAATTTGGGAAGAGAAAAGAAAGAAAAAAATGAACCATTTTATTGATATTAAGAGATTATAGGTAGTTGGCCGGAAAACATGAATCTAGGTTACATGTTAGTTTGTGTGTTTATCAGCAACATGTCCCTGCAATCGCAGTACCATGGGTGCTCACTGCTCGGAATGTCATGCTAGAACTAAACAAATGTCCAATGATTCATGGTATATAATAATACACCAACTGTGATCACTCACTCTATGACAAATACAACCAACATTCATTAATTTAGTGGAGGCATTTTTTACTATCATTAACTGATATTGAATGAATAAGTATTGTCGATTTTATATCCGAACGAAGAATAAATCAAGGGTAACTATTAGGAATTATTTATGAACTATTATTAAAAACATTCTTATTAGATAATTATCAAGTAACTAGTTTATGGATATATGTTCATTCACTTCATTTCCACTTGAAGTTTGTGCTGATGATGTCGTTCAGAAGAACGATGAAAGCTCTACGACCGAACTATCCATTAAAATATATCCTCATTCCTTATATCATAAGCTTTCATTTGACCTATTGGTTACTGTTATACGAGTTACTATTCTTAACTTATTCCCAATCTATTAATTACAGTCTCCTGTACTCATAGCCAATTTTAGCTTGATCTTGTATAATTATTACCTTTTTTTATTTTACGATGTGATACTGTCTGGTTTGCTTGTATATAAACAACGTATGTCTGAACTATATGATTTATACAGTGGAGGCTGAGATTGTTTACTGGATTCAAGCGGGCTAGGCTAGACGTGAAAAACTAATAAGGATTCAGAGTTGACTCAACGCTGCTAGTTCAGGTTGATATGTCATTAGTATGGCATAGTGCCAATGTCATATACGTTGGTATTCTGATTGGAGATCTTGTCACGTGATAATCGACAAAGGGATAACATTCGTAATAGTAAAGCATTAACTATTGATCAAACTCTAGTTATATGATCAAAGTAATAAGTTGACAATGTTAAGTTAAATTTCCATTCAACCAACTTTACTTCTATTCACTAAGGATTAATAATGATGATTTGACTTGAAACCATAAAAGTTCAACTTCGATGAAGGAGGAAAACGCTCTAATAGTTCAACGGAGAAGATACTTTTTACAACCTGACCATTTACAATAAACCAAATGTAACATTGAAAAGGAAATATGAATTTGTGAAGTAGAATTCCTCAACTTCTTTTGACAGACTATCAATCTAATTGATGCTCATTTTTTGAAGAAGATGATGGATTGAACGGACTTCTTAGTTAGGACTGACAAACATAGTTCATATTTAATTCATTGCCTTAAAAACCACAAAATCACTTGACTGTCTACTACTTCAGTCAGTTTAGAGAATTTTACCAGTTTGTCAAGTGTAATGTTTGTAATCATGTGTCAACAAGTAGTTGGCGAAACTATAATTTATGGACGAACCAATCAGATTTAAGATAAAAGATCTGAGATTTTGGCGCGAAATTCACTCTTTCATTAGTCTAAATAGAGTTTTGGCATTATAACTGATGTTAATTCGTGATAAAAACTATAAATGTAATTCCTAACCCTTACCCTCAACTGTAAATCATCACTCTAATTCGTCACGCTAGTTTATAACCCTCATTTGGTTCTGATTGTTAGGTGGACGCTCTCAAGGTCACTTAAGCGTCGCTCAAAGGTCGTCCATAAATTATAGTCTCACCCAAGTTGTTTATAATTATAATGGGACCTGGTACACATTTACTTCGGCACACATTCATATATAGAAATGGAATTAACATAATAAATATCACAGTCAAAGATAATAGTATCTACTTCCGGCCTTTCTAACGTCACTACCAATTACAATTTTAGATAAAGTAGGAGTTGGATTCCGGCTCAATGGTCCAGGAGGTTAGGCGTTCGAGCGCGGGGCTAAAGGTTCTGGGTTCGGATCCCGCGAGTGGGATCGTGGATACATACTGCTGGATCCCACAATAGGACGAGAAGACCGTCCAGTGCTTTCAGGTGTTCAACGGTGGTTTGACATCAATCGGTTTATGATCTCAATCAAAAACTTAATAATCTCCACAACCCCTATACTGATAAAGTAGGAGTGTTGGACATGTAGTTGACAACTTTACCAGGTAAAAAAATAAAGGGACCTTGTTAAAAAGACATCAACTAGAACATTCAGGATTAGGAAAAGATCAATAAACATAGAAATAGATCTTAATAATAAGTAGAGAACAGCATGAAAAATTCGAAAAGATTATCACATGAATAGAGATAGTTATTTCAATGGAAAATCATATTGTAATCATTAATATCCTCAATATGTCAAACTTACTTATTCTACAGTCTGTTCCAATGAAACCTTTAGGGCAATCACATTCGAAAGAATTAATAAGATCTTTACATGTTCCATTATTATAACTAAAAGATAAAAGTAGATGAGTAAATAGACAGAAAATTAATAATAATTACGAAACTTAATAGTTGACATCATGAGTCAATTGAAGCTAAGCCACCATAAAAAACAAACTGAGAGAGCTGGTTGACCGTTTCATCCTACTGTGGGAATCCTCGGCAGTATGAACCTACGACCCCGCCTCGCGAGATTCAAGCAGAGGACCTACAGGTCTCACACGCGAACGCCTAACCTGTAGACCACTGAGCCGGCCGGCATCCGACGGTGTTAGCGTATTGCTTCAACCAATCCGCGAAGTTGTGCCACGGTACACCACTGTCTTTAGTGAATTACTATCTCACAACAGACCGTTAGATGCCGCCTCAGTGTTCTACAAGTTAAGCGCTCGCGCGCGAGACTGATAAGTCCTTGGTTCGAATCTCGTGAGGCGAGATCATGGTTGCGCACTGCTGATGAGTCCCACAATAGGATCAAAAGGCTCTTCAGTGCTACCAGGTTTTCCATGATGGTCTAGCTTCAATGGACTCATGATCTCAACAATTAAATTACTATAATATCCATAAAACCCCTTCTGATATTAATTACGAAATTATTTCTAAAGATACTTTTCATCACGACCTGTCCACAGTTAGAGAATCATTGAAGACTAGTAAATAGTGGCTAAGTGTTTTGTCTCAGTTGTTCACGACTCCGTCAGGGATTAAATTTAGAAACTTTTAACCTCTAGATGAATGAGTGTCATTTATACTATTGGGTTGAAATCTAAGTTGTTCATGTTTCAAATTCCAGCTAGTTCAACAACTGAAAAGGATTGTTCAGGTCAAAGTTGTATGAAAAATCCTGGTGGATGACCTATGCTCCTCCACGGGAGATAACAGGCGTAAGTATGTACAGTAAGACAATATTTGTTATTGGACCTAAATTGAACAAAGTTGCGTATATTAAGTGAACCCACCATGGCATTGAATTACATTCGTTAATTTCATTTTCACAATATTGACCATCGAAACCAGGACGACAGATACAATTGAAACTGTTACCTAAATCAACACATGTAGCACCATTTTTGCATAGATTTTTTTGTACACATGACCTTGTTTCTGGTCGACCTAAATTTGGAAATGAATGAATAAAAGAATTGAATGTTTAAAAACTGGATTATGTAATAAAACTTTTTATTATGTCAATCAGTCTCGACTTATTTCAAACCATTTCTTTGCAATAACAGGTTTAGTCAATCATGATCTCAACTATTGAAATCACTATAATATCCACAAAAACCCTTTATGATATTAATCAACATATGCTCTATAGTGGCTGGCTTCAAGAGATATTTCCTGGAGTTCTAGTGCGAAGCAGTGACGATTGAAGTTCAACTTGGTCTGTTGTGAGATAGCAATTCACTGAAGACAGTGGTGGATGTATAGCATTTTTTCGCGGATTATTTGAAGTTAGACATTAACACCGTTCGATGCCGGCCGGCCCAGTGGTCTAGAAGTTAAGCGTTCGCGCGTGAGACTGATAGGTCCTGAGATGGAATCTCGCAAGGTGGGATCGTGGCTGCGCACTGCTGAGGAATCCCACAATAGGACGAAACGGCCGTCCAGTGCTTCCAGGTTTTCGATGATGATCTAGTTTCAGTTGGCTCATCATCTCAACTACTGAAATCACGATTAAGCTAGAAGATCCAAACTGTTATCCAAATTATCATCTATTTCTTTCGTACCCATTATCCCACAGATGAATTCAACCTGTAGATGATTGAGCTGTAATGCAGTGGCCTACAATTTTAAAGTTATTTAATTTGAATAGGGTTAGATAAATGAAGATTTAAGGAGATTTACATGAATTCAATTTATTTAATAGTTGAAATCATGGAAAACCTGGAAGCACTGGACGGCTGTTTCGTTCTAGTATGGGACTCAATTTATTTACTTTGGAATATATTCTTAAAAAAGGCCTTTACTGTAAATGAATAAAGATGTTAAGTCATGCAATTTCTAGACATTTCTTGGATACAGAATATCAGGTAAAGATCATGAAAATCCTTTTTTTTTTTAGAAAGAATAATTCGCATACAAGTTCTAGTCTTTTGAAAGTCACTGAAGTGTGTGGATTGTGGTTCTTTCATTGCTCTTCTGGACGACGTCATCAGTATAAACTTCAGATAGAAGTGAACATTTCACTCTATGACCGAACCATCCAGCTCAGAAAACAAAACTATCAAAATCATACACCTAAGGTACAAATTATCTCCACCGTTCCAAAATGTTCTTCAGAACTTCATATTTATTTATTGACAACAATAAATCCAAACATTTAACTTGGTCATCATGATCCTAGATTCATTATCTTATTAAATATTCATAATAACCCTTAGATAAGAATCATTACGGTAATTATTGTGTCTTGTGGACTGCAGATTAGACAGCAGTGAATTATCGATCGGAACAATGACGCGTAAACACGTAAGAACGGCCTAGAGTTCCGATTGGTCCCGCTCCCCTGTCTAGCCCAGCTAGTTGAGTCCAGAACGCAAGTCTCAGCCTCTGAGATATGAATCGTTATATTTCAAACATACTCTGTTTATATACCAATCAAGCAGACCACATCGTACCATAAAATAGAAAATAACATTTGTACAATATTGACCAGTAGGAAGACGACACGTGAAATAAATATTGACCAATAAGAGAACGATACCATCTCCAAGTCCAAGAATAGCATTCGACTTGATAGAATAATTTTTGGGATATTTTTCTGAATATCCCAACAGTAATGATTTACAACTCCCCTTTTTTTGATCATTTCAAACATGTAAGAAGTTCAGATGAATCTAATGAAACTAAAATGAATTCATATTCGACTTAAATCTTTGTTCTTATTCTTTTTTTAATAATTTAATACACATCATTAATTGTAAAACAATGAAAAATTTAGTTGCCATGATCATAATACAATAGTTTTGGAGGGTAACTTTTGATCGGCGGATCGCCAAAGCAGGATCAGTATATCTACAATGGAAGAAAATCTAGAACTCGAAACAACGGTCAATCAACACCAAAATCAGAATTTTCAATACAAATGTCAAGACAGTTTTACTGTATTGGGCAGAAACTTGGAGAACTACAACAGTCATCATCCAGATAATACAAGTGTTTATTAACAAGATCCGTTGGCCAGTCACCATTAGCAACAACCTACTGTGGGAAAGAACAAACCAGATTCCAGTAGAGGAAGAAATCAGGAAGAAGCACTGGAAGTGGGTAGGATACACAATGAGGAAAGCATCCAATTACGTGACAAGACAAGCTCTCATATGGAATCCTCAAGGCGAAAAGAGAAGAGGAAGACCAAATGACACGTTACTTCGGGAAATGGAGACAGACAACCATGAGAAGAATGCCCAACAGTTGGATAGAATTAGAAAGGAAGATCCAAGATCGAGTGGGTTGAAGAATGCTGGTCGGCGGACTATCCTCCATTAGGAGTAACAGGCGAAAGTAAATAAGTAACTTTTAAATAAGCTAAAAGGATGATAGACTAGATTCACTAAATATTTAAGCCCATATATCTCTGCATGAGTTGGAATGAAAATCGTTATATGTGTATTAGTGATTTGTGTCTACTATAATTTCGGTTTGTCAAAAAAATCTTCAAACTCATTTCAGTTTTCTCATCTTGTTAATAAGTTTGGTGTAAATCAAAACTGAACAGAATATAACAAAGCAAATAGATGAATTCATTTCTCAATTCCCTCAAACGTTTTACAGTGCAATGTCGATTTCTTCTAAGCATTGGTATTGGTGTCGTGTTGGTTGCCATATTAAGCCCACACAGCTTATTTGAACTTTCGGACAAACCAATTTATTCATTCTTCTCGACCTACATGTTGACCTTGTTAATTATTCGCTCATCAACCATGACTGTTTTTATGTAAACGTGTGTGCATTTCTCATCTTACTCATCATACGTTTGTAGCTTATTTTAGTTCAGTCTATAAATATCGATTACCGCTTGATTAAGACGAGTTGGCTCACACTCTATCTTCACTGCGCGTCATCTCACTCCGCTCTCTTCACTTCGCTTCGTTTCGTTTCTCCAGTCGTTTGTCTCAATCAATAATTGTACGAAATATATGTATTCTAAAATCCATTCTCATATTTGATTTATGTGATTCCGTTATTCACTAACACGATTTAAGGCCATGATTATATACGAGGATTGACTGTTATGCTCTGATAAGCATAATGAATGGTAACCTTTGGGATCCATTTATGGACCAATACTATGCGTATATTTTTATCGTATAATTGTTAACTAACTAAGTCATACATATTCATGTCCCTGTTATTATGAGCTTTATTTTAACCATTGAACTATTATTATACGATTTGCCATTCTTGAATTATGCCCAGTCTATTAATTACTACTTCCCACACTCACAGTCACATTTGGCTGAATCTAGTACAAATGTTGTTTCCTATTTTATTGGTACGATGTGGTCTGTCTGGTTGGTATGTTTGAAATAAATGATCCATATTGCAGAGGCTGAGATTAGTGTTCTGGACTTAACTGGCTGGGCCAGGCAGGAAGAAGGATCAATAAAGACTCTAGACTGTTCGTACGTGTTTTATGCGTCATTGATCCGATCGGTAATTCACTGCTCTCTGATTGGCGGTATCGTTACGTTATACATTAACAGAGCACACAGGCCACAAGTTATAGCATTGGCGATATGTATATTTCAATAACGATCATTCGCACGATCAACATGAAGTCAGACATAAGGTCACTAAATTGGTTTATCAGATTTATTAGACTGTAATTTGTTAATGGTCTCATTTATAGATCAACTAAGTTTTATATTAACATAGAAATATTTTTAACTAAACTTACGTAACTGGCAAACAGATCCAATCCATTGATTATCACATTCACATTTAAATAATCCAGGACTTAAATGATCTTGATGACATTTACCATTATTAAAACAAATTTTAGCCATATTACATGGATTATCTGTTTGAAATTCACACCAACGACCAGACCAACCTGGTGCACAACGACATTGAAAATCTCCTGGATGTAATGTATGCTGACAATAGCCACCATTTTGGCATGGATTTGGTTGACATAAATCAATAGCTATAAAGAAAAGTAAGGAAATCAATCGATCATTTGATTCAAGAGGTTTCATATAGATTAGTTTACTTCATAAGTGATATTTGTCATGGATTGACAGCAGTTTGAAGGCGGGAAGTATTATTTGTATTGGATCATTGTAGTGTTTTATGAGAATGATCTAGAAATAATCGACTTTCTACGTAAATGTAAAGTTGAAGATTCATTGCTTTTTTGTTGGGAGCTAACGACACAGTCCAGCTGTCCTGATGTGGATATTACATTAATTTCAGTGGTTAAGATCCACAAAACCCATCTGATATTAATCAACATATGCTCTATAGTGACTGGCTTGATGAGGTATTTGCTGGAGTTCTAGTGAGAATTAGTGACCAGTGGAGTCCAACCAGGTCTGTTGTGAGATAGTAACTCACTGAAGACAATGGTGGATGTGTTTCATTTTTTCGTGGATAATTTGAAGTTAGATATTAACACCGTTGGATTCCGACTGATTCAGTCGTCTAGAGGTTAAGTGCTCGCACACGAAACCACTGGGTCCTGGGTTCGAATCTCGCAGGGGGGGCGTGGATGTGCACTTCTGGGGAGTCCCACAATGGGACGAAACGGCCGTTCAGTGCTTCCAGGTTTTCTATAATGGTCTAGCTTCAACTGACTCATGATCTTAACGTTTGAAATTTCATAATTATTTTATAATTAATGTGAGAAATTTTTAAAAATAAAAAATCACTTACGATGTTCACATTGCACACCACTAAATCCTTCTTCACATATACATTCATAACCTTCTAAACCACTTATACATGTACCATCATTCATACATGGCATAGTTTCACAATAATTAATTGATTGATGACAATATTTTCCTTGATAACCAGTTCCACAGATACATTTATAATCTCCATTATCTGTACTAACACATGTACCATGTTGACCACATACACCATAAGGATATGTGATCTCATGATGACTAATTAATAAATTATCATAATTTGATTGAGTTGAATTTCTCGGAATCATTGTTGATTGCTGAAGAGTTAATACTGAAGATGTTAACGTCAACGAGGAAGAAGAAGAAGAAGAAGGATATGGGAATGTATCATTATTATGCATAATTAACATAGTTAAACATGGATCCATTAATGTATCACAACCATCTGGTCCACAATATGGTCTTTGATATTCACAAAATTGTCCATAAAAATTTTCTGAACATTTACAATAGAAACCACTAGATAATGTATAACAATAAGCACCATTTTGACAAAGATTTGGATTACATCCATTTATTGAAATCTTTTATAGAATAGAAAGAAAAAAAATAACAGATGAAATTTACTTTATCTTGAAAGACTACTTACATTGTTCTTTGAGAAATAAGATAATGCACTTGGAGATTTGATTGAGATTATGAACCTCCTCAGCAATACGCATCCACCATCCCGCTCGCGGGATTCCTTGAATTTAGACATTAACACCACTGGCTGCTGACTCAGTGGTCTAGAGATTAGGCATTCACACGTGAGGTCAAAGATCTTAAGCTCGAGTCCCCTATGGTGCAGGATCATGAATGCGCTTTGTTGAGGAGTCCCATACTAGGAAGAAACGACCATCCGGTGCTTTCAGGTTTTTAATGGTGGTCTAGCTTAAATCGACACATGAATTCAACTAGTAAGATAAAATTGTTAATGTTGAAATGACTTATATGCTAAATGAACTTATGAGATTCATGATCAGAATAAATATGGTTCAGATAAGGTGAAAGAAATAATAGTCCAATTATAAATTCGATCAAATGTTTAGTGGAAGACTAAAGTTATATGAATTCAGTGGGAATTTATAAACTGTTGTAAGTGTCAAGGAGATTAGTCATGTACTCGGAACATTATTGGTAATAATAATCCAAAGGTAAGTGAATAACAAAGATAACAAATTCACTTGATATTGTTTTACTTGAATCTTCCCATTGATATTTTAGAACTGAAACTGATCAATCTCTTATGCCAAATTAAAGCAATATCGAGGCATACGCACAGTATGCACATATGCCAATAAAAGACTGATCAATTTCAGTCCTAAAACATCAATGAGAAGATTTAAATAAAACAATATCAAGTGAATTAAACTTCACCCCATTGCACATGTAAGTGGTTATCGGGACTCGGTAGCCAAGTGGATAACACGATGGGATTTAAAGTGAATACTACTAGGTTCCAGTCTTGAAGTGAACATCTACTCTGAGATGCAGATACATCCAGCTGACGAGTCCTAAATAGGACGAAACGCGAGTCCTGGATTCCACTGCTAGTCACTATCCATCTTTGCTTATAAAGATAACAAAGATTATATTTGACTAAGAAAGGTTGTTAGGTTTTCCTATAATTATGATTACTATTGATTCATTGGCCGTGAGGTTGACCAATGTAAGATAAGTGTTTGAAGGTATTGATTTCATACAATTGGCTCTAGATTTTTAGTCCGAATGGTTACAGCTTTTACCCTTTGAAGGACTTTGGATCTAACAGACCTTGAGAAAATATCTCGAACCCGATAAATAATTGAGAAAGATTGGAGTATACTGGAACTGTGACTAGTTTGCATGAAATGGGTTGATATCGAGCTGTCCACTTTTTTCACTAGATCTTTGCTTAACCGCTCTGGAAGGTATTCATGAGCACGAAAATGTAAATTGAGATGGTGGAGAAGATTTTTATCTCAAATGGATGATTTTGATGGAGTTTTGTTCTCTGAGCTGCTCAGAGAACCAATATAACTTGCTGTATGAATGTAGTCTAAATGACAAATACAAAATTAGGTGGTCGTTCTAAATAGTCTTGGTGTCTACTGATCTACTCGTAAATATGAACCGTTAATAATGCAACTGAACATGACATAAGGTCGTCAATTGTATTAAGCGATACTTATGGAAACTTTCAACATACATGACTGATGAATTTCTGCCGACACTTAATTACACCAATCTATTTCGCTTGAATGAAACATTTGATAATCTTTTCAGAAACTCCACACAGTGTTTCATCATCAGTGCTAGTGAATAAAACTTTAAAATCAATGAATGAATTATGTCTTACAACATTCTCATAACTGTAGTAATAATGATGAACTTGAAGTCATTTCTAATGAATTGATGATTTATATTATTTATTTAAACACATAAACATTGGTACAAGGAGGCGCCAAATAGATATGCGCCACATAAATAATTCGATTTGTGTGAGGGCTAGGATACTGCCCGGTAGCCCGAATCGAAGCAGGTGGTTTTTTTAGGCGGCCACACCCAGAGCCTTCAGCCTAAAGGTCTGATCCACAAGGCAGTGGAGCAAATAAGTTCATATGCCATTTATTTTCTTAGGATCCGGGAGCCCATGTACGTCAATGGTTCTGAATCAGGGTTCTCCATATTCACGAACCCGGTTAAAGCTCCAGACGTTTGATTTTCGTCCTCTGAATTTCGTGAATAACAGTAATGCCGCGAGAAGACAGTGAGTAGGACTTCCTTGGGATTCGTTGTATACAAGTGTCCATGTGAGAGCGTTTAGAGAGGGAGAGATGACTCTTTCCACTCCCAGCCGTACCAGATCATTTGGGGGCTATTTTTACAACAGATTCATCATGTTATCAGTGAAAAACTTTTTTCTCACTCACTTCACAATTTTGTCCTATAAATCCATTTGGACATTCACATAAATAACCACCAGGAATTTCATGACAGATTCCTTTATTTTGACATGGTTTACTGGAACATTCACGATTAATTTCACAATGTCTACCTTCAAATCCAATTGGGCAAGTACAATAGAAATCATCTAGAAGATCCTGAAAGAAATATAAACAAACAAATAAAATTATTTCACGCTAATATATATATGAGAGTAGGAAATGAATAGAAAATTATTACATTGAATATTTCCGGATGGTATTCATCAAAGATTGTTTTCCTTTTGAATATCATTCGGAATAAAAGATCACTGGATATCTTGTATTGTCTTAATACGATACTCTACAGAAGTGCTCACTTACAATTTCGCCAGAGATCAAACTCTGAACCTACAAGTCTCTGGAGGAAAGAGAGCTTAACTAACATTTGAACCGGTAAAAACTAAGTTCTATTCTCAATTTAAATATCAATGTATATTGAAATATAGGGAGATCAGGCTGTCGAATCTCAAACTAAAGTGAATAGATGGAACATCCATATTCTACTAATACAAACTGTTCAAAATATAATCAATATGGAAATGTAGAAAATCTGCAACCTCTACTAACAAACAGGAAGATACATTTAAAAATGCCTAAATAAATACCGATTGTTTGAGATTGATTATGTAATATTCATCAAGTCACAGTTTATGATTGAAATAGCAAGAGAAGTGAATGTTCAACGCAGCATCATTGTCAAAAATATTGATTATATGTAACTAACTAACTGACAACTACTACTAGTAGTACTACTAGCACCACTATCAAAACGCTGACTCCAAACCAATGGTGCACACGAGTTCCAGTATCCTGAAGGAACAAATGGCGTATGAACCAATCGTTAGTCATCGGCTACCATGGGACCGCATCTCCTCAAAATGATCTATTGCCTTGTGGGTTAGACCTTCAGGTCGAAGGCTCCGGGTGTGGCCCCCTAAGAGAACCACCTACTTCGGTCTGGGCACCCAGGCAGTATCACAGCCCTCACACATATCGAATGAGATTTGTGTGACGCATATGTATTTGGTGCCTCCTTGTACCAATATCTATGTGTTAAAATAAAAACTACTACTACTCACACTACTACTACTACTGCTACTAACACTACTAGCAATGCTACTAGTACTACCACCAATACTACTACTAACAACAACATTACTATTACTACCACCACTACGACTACTACTACTGCTATTAATGGTATTAATTATGATGATAATAATAATACTACCATTACCATTATTATTATTATTATTTAGTAAGTAAAATAAGTTACTTACGTGACATGTTCCTCCATTTTGACATTTGTCTACACAATCATCGATATCTTAATTATTTAGAAAGGAAAAAAGAACAATCATTAGTAAGTAATTATGTAATCTATTACTATAAACAAATGAGAAATCAATAAAAGATTGAAGTAAGTCACGCAATTCATAAAGAAGTAAATGAATGAATATCATTATGCATCTTTGCTTATTATTGAATAATGGAAGATATACGATTAATGACTATGGATACGTTTAGTCGAATTCACTTCAAAGAACTGATCAGCGAAAGATATCAACAACCTTGCTTACTTACTTATTTACTTACGCCTGTTATTCCTCGTGGACAAGCATAGGCCTCTCACCAGCACTCTCTATCCAAACCTGTCCTGGGCAATCCTTTCAAGTCGTTATTCATCCTTTCCATATCTGCTTCTATTTCCCGACGTAATGTGTTCTTCGGCCATCCACTTTCCCATTTCCCTTCAGGATTCAAAGTTATGGCTTGCCTCGTGATGCAGTTTGATTATTTGAGTAATGTATATCCTATCCATTTCCATCGTCTTTTCCTAATTTCCTTCTCAGCTGGAAGCTAGTAGCTTCTAGAAGCCTGTAACTCTTCTAGAGTTACTGCCAGTCCCAATCCCGGGTAAAGAGAAGGGTTTAGTTTGGGGTTATCGACCCCGTCCCATAGAAAGCTAACTCGCGAAAAAAATCAACAACCTTAGATGTTATATTTCTGTTATACAAACTGTATCATTCAATCTCATCTGTTTAAATATTACAGTTTAATTATTTTGTGCTACTAGATGTTATGTTAATATCAAAATATTTAGCTTATTAGGAAACAATACAAAATAGTCTTCAGTCTTTAGTAATAAGGATAGGAGGTTTATCGATCTAATATTAATAAGACGAAACGACCATCCAGTTCTTCCAGGTTTCCAACAGTGGTCTAACATCAATCGGTTCATGATCTCAATCGAAACTTATTATTCTCCACAACTCCTATAATGATTATTAACATATGCTCAATAGTGCCTAGCTTTGTGATGAGATTGTCTGAGTTCTGGTGAGAAGCCATGACCAGTGGAGCTAATCCGTGTCGGGTAGAAACAGGTATCTACCTCAGTACAATGGAAAATAGTCGTACAATTTCGTGGATTGGTTGATATTAGACACTAACACCACTGGATGCCGGCTCAGTGGTTCAGTAGGTTAAGCGTTCGCGCGCGAGAGTGAAGGCCCTGGGTTTGAATCTCGTGAGGCGGGATTGTGGATGTGCACTGCCGAGGACGAAACAGCCGTCCAGTGTTTCCAGGTTTCCAACGGTGGTCTAACATCAATCCGTTCATGATCTCAATCAAAAAAAAGAATCCTTACAGTTTGTAACACTGTAGAGGTTCAATCTCTCTTTGAATATATCAACAGAAGGTGTTAATATTATGTGTTCTGGTAATTCACTATTCGGTACGAGAAACAAAACTTCAGACGTAGACGATTTGATCTCGGTCTTTTAACTTTCTTCGAATGTCCTCTCAAATACAAACTAGTGATCATTATCAATTATATAAAATGATAATAATCTCCATACAATGACAATAGACAAGCCATTAAATGATGAGTACAATGATTGAAATCGACTGATTGTAAACAGACTAAATGAGAGAAAAAGATAACAATCATTTGAAATATTCATTTAATATCTAGTTTAATTAATAAAGTTGAAGTATCTGTTCAAACTGTGAGAGAAAAAAACAACCCAGTCGTAATAAGAGGAAAGAAAGCAAGTAATGATGATAAAGATAAATGTTAAGATCCTTATGTACTTGTTCTTTTCCAAGCTGATCCCTTGTATGTTTATCAACAATGTTTGATTTTATCATCTAAAATAGTCATGAAATAGCATTCTA